TCAAACGACCACTATTATTTTGCGAAAGAGAGTAGAATTTTGTATATATATTTTGAAAGGCCAAGTAGAATCTTGTACATGAATCTAGAAATTAAGCTAAGAATTTTCAAATCCCCAACCATCCTCGAAAGCAGGTCATATTCTCAGAAGTGGGTGCAACTAGGATTGTGGTTTCGAACCCGACCCCTTCCCTACCATTTAAAGGACAAGCATATTCTTGAAATAATTGCACTTAAAAAAAAAAAAAAAAGAATATAGTGGACTTTTGTCAAAAAAAAAAAAAATTTCATCTCTACTACTTATAAAGTTCCACCTAAACTGTTTTCTAAATCTCAAATCTAATAAGCATTTGAGGTAACGAAAGAAATGATGATCATCCGAACATCACCTATCTTTGCTTTCTTAGTACTGCTAATGATTGAATCAGCAGCAGGCCAGGCTCTGGTGAAGCCTGGCTGTCCAGAGTCTTGTGGGAATGTCAGCATTCCATACCCCTTTGGAATCGGAACAGGTTGCTACATGAGCAAAGGGTTTGAGCTCTACTGTGATAACCATTCCAATCCTACTAGAACTATACTGAACAGCACAAAAATTGAGGTAATGTATTTCTCTCTTATTCCCAGCTTTATTACCGTCAAACTACCCACAAACCGCACGAATTGTGCCAGAACCTGGGCACTTTTGAATCTTTCTGGAAGTCCTTTTATGTCCGTCTGGTCAGGGAACACCTTGGAGGAATATGCTTTAGGCGTGTTAGAATGGGCGATTACTGATAAGGATGTATTACAATTACCACATACAAATGAGGGTGCATTTAACTGTTTCAAGTTTAATGGTCCTAATGATACTGTTGGTTATGGTTATTACAACGATTCGGACTTGTTCTCATCGTATACCATTGGTAATGGTTATTACAACGATGCCGAATTGTTTGCATTGTATAATTTATCTTCAATGTCCTGGAACGCAAGTCAACGATGTGTTTGTGAACGTGGATTTGAAGGCAACCCTTATCTACCTGATGGATGTCACGGTGAACTTCAATCTCCACTTTTTCTCTAGTTTTATCTGTGTCTCGTTTCTTTTATTTATAATAGTTAATATTTATTAATTTTTTACAATCATCTATCAACTGAGTTTTGTTTAAAAAACATTAAACATAATAAGA